TTTTTGTGGATTTGTTCTTCTGCTCAAGTCCATAGGTATAGACTTCGTAAAGTATTGTGCATAACGATAACCTTACCATGGTCGAGACATCGGTAAGGCCAGAATTATGCGTACACCTCTTGCATTAACGTTAATTTCAATTCATTTTTCAAAAATTTTCTTCCAGATGTCTGACATGGACCGAACTGCGATTCACGAAGTTATGGAGCAGGGTCGCGTAACCATAGCTAAGGCTGGCATTCATGCAAAATTGAATGCTCGCTGCTCTGTGCTTGCTGCTGCCAATCCGGTTTATGGAAGGTTGGTTTTGTCATTATTACAGTTTTCTTGTTCCACCAAATCAAAGTAATTTGCAAAATAAAGTAGTTTGCGGTTTTCCTTGCAAGATGTGACATCTGGTTGGGCTTCTCATTGGCTTACAAAGTCATAAAAAGCCTTGAGAATATCCTTTTGATTTTCAATTTGAAGAAGTTTTTGGGTAGAATCAGTGCCGCGCTCACGATAGAAGAGTAATTTGTCAAGAATATCCATTTCTGCTGCAAGAATTCTCGCTCTTAGATGTGTTTCATCTTGTTTTCATTCAGTTTACCGCTTCAGATACGATCCCTTCAAAACGCCTATGGAGAACATCAACATGCAAGATTCGCTTCTTTCGCGTTTTGACCTCATCTTCGTTTTGCTGGATGAGGTCAGCTTATCGTTTGGATTAAGCGTAATAACATAATTATCAGCATCTGCTTTAGCATGACCCTGATAGAGACAGTAAAGTGGCCAGCCATGTTCTCAAATTGCATTGCTACCGGGCACCTGGAGAAGAAGATGGGACGGTGCTTCCTATGGGTTCCTCTGTTGACACCATGAGTACTTTTGATCTCGCTGGTTTTGAAAGAACTAGCGAAATGTATGAGAGGAACTCCGATTGGGTGGATGACTCGTGAGTTTGGGAAGACTGAATGGTGTCTATGCAGCTTGATATGGTATATCTTCTGTTTAGACAAAAGATTTTGTCGGTGGAGTTTGTAAGGAAATACATTCATCTGGCACGTTCCATGAAGCCGAAGTTGACAGAATCGGCTACTGAATACATAGCTGATGTCTATTCAGAGATCAGATCTTTCGATATCTCAAAGACTGATAGAGAAAGAGTGAGTGGTCTTGGGTCATTTGATGTTTTGGTGACGATACGGAGCATTTTTTAGACTATGCCCATCACTGCTAGGCAGCTGGAAACGTTGATCCGTCTTGCTACTTCCATAGCCAAAGTCCGATTCTCGAAAACCGTTGACAGAGTGGATGCTGAGAAGGTCGGTTGACAAGACAACCAAAGAATGCACTAAATGTCCATTCTTTTATCTTAGGCTTACCATCTTTTGCATTTCGCTTGCTTCAAAGAGAAGCCAAAGGCACGTCTCGATTTCGAAAACCTGAAGAAGAAAGGTGTTGATCATAGAAGTGATGATGAGGAAGAAGAGGAGGTATGTCTTATCCTTAAAATTTAGTCCAAATCTAG